CAATGAAAGCTGTGGAATATTCAATGAAAGTGCACATCATTAATTATGAAAGAAGCAATGAATACATATAACCTAGCTAATGAAATATTTATTGAAATGCACAATGAAAGCACCCAAAATTGATAATGAAATATTCAATGAAAGCGCACAGCATTAATTATGAAAGAGGCAATGAATACACCTGACCTAGGGAATGAGATATTTATTGAAATTGCACAACATTAATTATAAAAAGTACAATGAAAGCATCCAATATTCCTAATGAAATATTCAATGAAAGCGCACACAATTAAATATGAAAGAGGCAATGAATACACCTGACCTAGGGAATGAGATATTTATTGAAATTGCACAGCATTAATTATGAAAAGTACAATGAAAGCATCCAATATTCCTAATGAAATATTCAATGAAAGCGCACACTATTAAATATGAAAGAGGCAATGAATACACCTGACCTAGGGAATGAGATATTTATTGGAATTGCACAGCATTAATTATGAAAAGTACAATGAAAGCATCCAATATTCCTAATGAAATATTCAATGAAAGTGCACACCATTAAATATGAAAGAGGCAATGAATACACCTGACCTAGGGAATGAGATATTTATTGAAATTGCACAACATTAATTATGAAAAGTACAATGAAAGCATCCAATATTCCTAATGAAATATTCAATGAAAGCGCACACCATTAGATATGATAGAGGCATTGAATACACCTAACATAGTGAATGAAATATTTATTGAAATCACACAGGATTAATTATGAAAAAAGCAATGAAAGCGCCCAAAATTCCTAATGAAATATTCAATGAAAGTGCACACCATTAATTATGAAAAAGGCAATGAATACACCTAACCCAGTGAATGAAATACCTATTGAAAGCGCACAGGTTTAATTATGAAAAGCACTCTGTGGCCTTGCCTATATCTTATGAAAAGAACATAGGTTTTATGAGAAAGAAAACACAGGACACATCTATGAAATGCCTTTCATAAAACTTGTGGACTTATACACACAGCTCTACAGGCAATTGCCTTAGTTTTATCATAAAAGTGGTAGCCACCAGTCACGTTGGTATGGAGACGGACTTCACGCTTCAAACAAATGTTGTAAACGAAAAAAAGTACTTTTCTTGCAACATTGTATACTCACTGCAAAGTTGTTCTTGCGAGCACCACGGCGTCGTGGCAATCCACGCAGCCTAACGTTAGTGGTGCGTCTGGGACGCATGAGGCCTTCGTCGTCCCCATCATGACCATCGTCCCCTTCCTCCCCGGCCCCTGGGGCGTTTGAATGTCGGAATCGGTCTATGTTGCTGCCGCGCAGAAGCTCGTTGGTGGTGTTGATGCCATGGCTAAGCTCTTGGACGCAATTGGTAAGCGAAAGCACATCGGCATAGGAGGCGGCCTTCGTTTTACGATTAGAAAGGATTGGCTATCAAAGAAGGCAGGTTTCAGACCTGGTAAAGATGTGCATCATTGCTTCGCCCACCATGCACTTGATCGTTCGTCGGGAGAGATTGAGGGCCTGCAGGCCTGCCAGATCGATTTTCGCTTGCGTTGGTATCTTGTTCCCCGTTTCCAGCTTCTCCATCGTCGTCTTCGTCTCCGCTACTCGGAAGGAAAGCTATGGGGTTTGGCGTGGTTAGAATAGGCTAGATGGCTATCAGCGCAGGGTTTCAGTATATGAGGTATTAACAAACCGGGCCTCGATTGATGCTTTCAGTGGCGATTGAGTCCACCATAGCTGTGTCGTCCTCAAAGTGGCTGACGTCAGAGATGCTGCTCTGCCCTTCCGCGATTAGACCGTCGACGGTGTCGTGTTCGGATTCATCGAGGCTTTCATAAAAAACTAGAGGCGTGGAATGTGGAAGAATGTTCTGCAATCTTGCACTTAGAGAGCTTTTGTTTGAAATTATGATAGAAACATACTTCTCCTTCGTCTTCTTCGTCTAGGTACTGGTGATTTACGTACGAATAATTGTCCGTCTGCTGCAATGTTAATCAACCTACACGAGGAAATGGGACATAGTACCGACTCTTGTGTAATTCTGCGAGTGTACACCGGTGCTGGCTTAACCAAGTTGGTGGTCTCAAGGGAAATGAGTGGGCGCCCCGGACATCGGATAGAGCGACCTTTGCGAGCCGTCGGCCGGCATCGTGGTGGAGGGACGCATGCGGTGGCTGACCTGGTCGTCCATTGCTGTGTCACCAGACGAGGTTGAGGCCAAGTGGACAGGTATGGAGGGGTCGACGCTCGTGGTATTGCTCTGGCCTTCCATGTGTGTATCGTCGATAGCGTCCTGGTCGGACTCCTCTGCGCTATCATAGGAAACTAATAGTGGCATTGAAGCCGGAACGAAAATCTAAATCTTCAATTTAGAGACCTTTCTTTGCCAAATTACGGTAGAGTTATACTTCTCGTTGATCATCTTCGCCTGAGTAATGATGGTTCAAGTAGGAGTGATCATCCACCTGCTTCAATGTTATCAACCTAGATGAGGAAGTGTAAAATGGTACTGACCACGGCATTATCCTGCGGGTGCATAGAAGAATAGTTATCCACCTAACTCAGTCAGTAATTTTCTCCAAAAAAAGACTAGGGGCTCAGAATGCTCACTGTTTGGCCGCCGCCTATCGAGGTCGACGATCGGAGATGCCAAATCTAATCATTCGCGCGGTAAGAGGAAAGCGGTTGATTTTGATAAGACGCCGCACACACCTGTGCAACCTGATTGGCCTCAAGCATTGCGGGGCCAGGTTGTACCTCTTCCCCAGTGCTAGAGGCTGACGGTGTTGGGCTAGATTCGCCTCCTTGGGGTCCAATGTCAATGAATTACAGTGAAGATGACGATACTATCATACTTACGAACAGTACGGTCACTCGTGCGATCCGCGTCTTCCGCATCCACGGTGGAAGTCGTTGCAAATCTCCACGGATTCACTTCTTCAAATAAACGAACTGGAAAAGGTGTCAACGTCCAAGCTGATAACGAAAAAGGTAAACGCACGGCGCTGATTGTGCAGGACCTGTCGTTGTGAGACATCGACGCGTGAACGCGGGTATGGGCCTAGTTCGCGAGGTCTCTCCCTACGTGGCTGCGACATAGGGATCCTTTGAAAGATATGATTGGAAGGAGAATGAGAGCCACTCTACAGTGTATCCTCCGAAGCCGGACCCTAACTGAAATCGCACAGTGCGTATAAAGG